GGGGACGCTACTTGCAGGTTTGAGGGGCGGCCCCACGTATCAGAGGAGACTCTCTGTGCGAATTTGAAGCTCTGGATCCCCTTGTCTCGGGCTTGAGGGACCATCAGGAGCGTCTCAGGGACCTGGGAGAGACGGAACTGTGATTCGAACCTCTCTCCAGACCCGAGTGAACTGGATCAGTGCTCCTCTGTTGGGGCAGGCATGGGGGGAGTCCTGCTGGTACCACCCAAGCTGGCAGTTGGGCAATGGCCTGGTGACCTGTGGGGCAATCTGTACTTTTTATATGATCTTCCTGGGTTGGGAACAGCTAGAGCCAGACTCTCTGGGAACCTTCCTGGTGGCCTCGCATTTTGGGAATTAGCCCACACTCCCGATTGAAGTCGGCTGTCCCTAATGGGACAAAGAGGCCTTGCCCTTTGCGTGTGTCTAAGAATTGGGCTATGATTCCTTGGTCCCTGGGAGTTGAGGCGCTGACCCTCTGGTCCCTGGGGCTGGGGCCTGGAAAGGATGGTTGTGGACTCTGCCAGCCGATCCGAGGTCTCCAAGACACTCACTTCACATTATGGAGGCTCTTTCTCTTGAGAGTGTCCTGGTCTGTGGTGCTCTAAGGTGGCAGATTCCTGACAGTCCCATATCTCTCCTTGTGTTGCAGGTGTGGGCTAAGCTGGTGGCCCCGGCTTTAGACTGGACCCCACAATGTTTGCAGAGATGTTCAGGTAGCTGTGGTAGGATGGCAGAGGACTCCTCCTCCTCCCGCCCCGCGCTTGGGGCTTCCTGGCGTGTCTGGGTCTCCCACCACCTTTGCCTTCCGGAATAGTCCCTCAGGTACCTGGCACAGCCTAATCCCCCTGGTGCCTACATGGATGTCTGTGTTATCAGGCACGCGGGAGCTGATTACACACAATGAATGGGGGCAATGAGAGCAGTGGAGCAGACAGAGCTGGGGGCCCTGTGGCCACATCTGTCCCCATCGGCTGGCAGCGCTGTGTGCGAGAGGGGGCTGTGCTCTATATCAGGTATGGCTCTGTGGAGTCCCCCAGGTTGCCACCCCAGCTGCCCTCCAGTCACCTGGGTCTTCTTTCTTGCACATCCCCTCAGCCCAGCCCTGGTACCTGCTGCTCTCGCCCGTTCCCTCCTTCCTCAGCCTTCCCTCTCTGTATCTCCGGGCCTTTCAGTCAGTTCTCCTTTCTCTGTCTTCCCACATCCCCAACCCTCTGTCCTTCCTGGAAGGTCTGGGAACTGTCCTGTAGGAGTATTTCCGATTCACTGCCACCTAACCCCATGTCCCCTGACCCTGTCTTCTCCCAGCCCAAGTGGCACAGAGCTGTCTTCCTTGGAGCAAACCCGGAGCTACCTCCTCAGCGATGGGACCTGCAAGTGCGGTCTGGAGTGTCCACTTAATGTCCCCAAGGTCAGAGTGGCGAGGGGTGCCAGAGAGTACAGGGATAAGCCCAGGGACAGTGTAGCTCACTGAGTAAGGTGGCCCTTCTCACGGATTCCACTCCCTCAGGGTCCATGTCCATGCCTTCCACCTTTCAGGTTTTCAACTTTGACCCTTTGGCCCCGGTGACCCTGGGTGGGGCTGGGGTGGGGCCAGCATCAGAGGAGGACATGACCAAGCTGTGCAACCACCGGCGGAAAGCTGTTGCCATGGCAACTCTGTACCGCAGCATGGAGACCACCTGCTCACACTCTTCTCCTGGTGAGTCTTCTGCCACTTACCGGAGCTGGGAAACCCAGGGCCTGGAAGAATGGTAGTGAGAGGGAGCCCGGTGGGGAGGGGTGGGATGGGAGCTGTGGGGGTTGCAGGGAGGTTGGGAACTCGTGGGAGATGGGACTAGAGAAGACAAAAGGAAGTTCTTGGCAGGGAGCCACGGCTGACCCCTCGTTTTTCATTTATTGCAGGAGAGGGAGCGAGCCCCCAAATGTTCCACACTGTGTCCCCAGGGCCCCCCTCTGCCCGCCCTCCCTGTCGAGTTCCTCCCACAACCCCTCTTAATGGGGGTCCCGGCTCCCTCCCTGCAGAACTGCCCCCAGTTCCCCAGGCCTTCCCCACTCTAGCAGGCCCTGGGGGGCTCTTCCCACCGAGGCTTCCTGACCCAGTGCCCAGCGGGGGCAGCAGCAGCCCCTGCTTCCTCCCTAGGGGCAACGCCCCTTCTCCAGCCCCACCTCCTCCACCTGCTATCAGCCTCAATGCCCCCTCGTACAGCTGGGGAACTGCCCTCAGACCCAGCCTGGTGCCCTCTGACCTGGGCTCTCCTCCGGCCCCCCATGCCTCCTCCTCCCCACCCTCAGACCCTCCTCTCTTCCGCTGTAGTGATGCCTTAACACCCCCTCCCCTGCCCCCGAGCAATAATCTCC